CAAAAACTTCAAACCAAATCTCAACCAATAGCTATTACACTTTTCATTCCATAAAAGGTTATTAGATTTTGTTAATTCTATAACATTTTAAAATATCGTAATAGATTAAATCAAAAAAAATTCTGTTATTTAAAACACAATATTATATTTGTAAGCTTAATTTATTTTTGTAGATAATTTATTGAGTTTCCCCTCATCATGTAACCCAAACATGATATTTCTTGTTTAAGTTTATCAATATGTTAAATAGTCTTAGTGTAAAAATGGAGAAAATATTGGAAAAAATAAACAACCCTTAAAAACAGGGTTTTTTAAATGAAGAGACAACCGATAAAGACGAATGACAACAACAATTAAAGGATATGACTTTGATAAAGGGATTAATTATGAAGAGTTAGTTAATAGTTATCTTACAACTGGAATCCAATCAAGCAATGTTGGCAGAGCAATTAATATTATAAATAAGATGCTTACTTGGCAACCAAGTGAAGAAGAAAAAAAAGAATATGTTGAGGGAGATGAAAGATTAAAACGTTGTACAATTTATCTTGGATTCACTTCTGAAATGATGACTTCAGGATTAAGAGATACATTTAGATATCTTGTAGAACATAAATGTGTTGATTATATTGTTACAACAGCGGGGGCTATAGAAACTGATATTATGAAATGTTTTGGAAATATGAATATTGGAGATTTTTATATGAAACCTGAAGAAGTTCAAGGAGAAAGACATGGAAATATGATTATACCAAAAGAATTAATTGAGAAAACAAAACAATGGCTAAAAGAATTTATTCTTGACATTCAAGAATGCCAAGATACTTCTATGCCATTTACTCCTTCTCAATTAATTACTATGATGGGTGAACGATTAAATGACACAACTTCTGTAATAACATGGGCAGCAAAAAACAATATTACTATATTTTGTCCTGCATTAACCGATGGTTTATTTGGTACCTGTATTACTGAACTTAATGAAATTAATCCTGTAAGGTTAATGGTTGATCTTGTTCAAGACCTTCGTCTAATCAATTCATCAACTATACATTCTGTAGAAACTGGTGTTATTATTCTTGGGGGTGGTGTAATGAAACACCATATTATGAATGCCAATTTAATGAGAAACGGAGCAGACTTTGCTGTATATATTAACACGGCTGGTGATTTTGATGGTTCAGATGCTAGTGCCCGTCCTGATGAAGCAGTTTCATGGGGTAAAATTAAAATCGATTCAGAAAATGTTAAAGTCTTGGCTGAGGCTTCATTAGTTTTTCCACTAATAGTCTCAAAAACATTTGCAGTAACAAAGAGATTTGATGGTAAAATTTAGAATTGCTAAAAGGAATCTAATTGTTCTTTTTAATGTATTTTTGTCTATATTTTAGTTATATATAACAATTTTTTAGAGATAAAAGTAATAGTGATGAAAATGAATCTAATGAGTTTAAAAAACCCTAGGGTTAGGATTTTAGAACCCTTTTTGAGGAACAAACTTTTTATAAAGAATATCCTTGTTGATAATGCAATTTGAACAAGTAATTTCTGCCCTTCAGTCACCAAACAACGAAGTAAGAAAACAAGCTGAACAATTATATAATGAAGCACTTGAAAAAAATTCAGACTCATTTATACAATCTCATTTTGAAATGCTTAAATCACAAAACGAAAATATTAGACACTATGTATTAACAATTTTACATGTTTCATTAAGTAAAAATATTGAACCAGTATTATTTGATCGATTAAATCAACAAATTCAAGCTACAATGTTTTCAACATTAATTGAAATTTTTAAGAACGAAACTAGTTTAAAAGTAGTTTCAATGCTTGCAGAAGTACTTTCAATTATTTGTATGTCTCTTTCAAAGAAAAAGGTTAATGTAAATCCTTATTTTAATACCACTATTGAATTAACTAAATCACCAAATGAAGCACTTAGATTTTTAGGATATACTACAGTGTCTCAACTTATTCTTTTATTAGAGCCTCAAACACAAGTTGAAGCAACAGGAACATTAGTACAACTTCTTAGTTCTGGAATGAATGATACTTCTCTTGTTGTGGCACTTGCTGCTCTTGATAGTTTTATTTCATGTGTATTAATGTATGATGATCCTGATTCTCCTCTTGGTGAGTCACAAGGTAAGTTTATTGTTCTTATGCCTATTGCATTGCAATTATTTGGTAAAATCATGAATAGTGGTAATCTTAAATTAATTACTAAATCACTTTCAACTGTTGCACAATTTGCTTATTTACCAAAAGAATTTATGAAACCATATGTTATGGTATTTGTAAGTGGGTTATTAACAATTTCTTCAAATGAAAGTATTGACTTTGAAGTACGTATGACTGCTATGAGCACAGTACTTGATATTGTTGAACCTTTCAAATTACTGTTTAAGAGAGAACCAGTTGCATTAAATAATGTACTTTCTCATTTATTTACATGGTTATGTATTCTCAATGATGATGTTGACTCATGGAATAAAGGAGAAGAATTAGATGAAGATGCTGCTGATCTTGCAAGAGATCTTGTTGATCAGTCTGCAGATATGTTTGGAGGAGAATGTATGTTTATGTTCATTAATTCTCAAAAATTAGATAATTGGAAGAAAGAATGTGCTTATTTAAGATGGATTTATATTACTTTAAATGCAGGAAAACATTTTTATAAGAAGCATTTAGATAAGTTATTTGAAATTATTAATAAATATTTACTTCATCAACATCCAAGAGTTAGAAATATGGCATTTTTATTGTTAAATGAGATGATATGTCTTTTCAAAAAGAAATGTAAGTCATACGTTTCACAGATTTTCCAAGTTATTAAACAATCATTTAGTGATGCTTTTATTCCAAATCAAATTAGTGGGTGTGATATTATTTCTTCATTTATTGATGTTGAATTAGTTAGTCAATCTGAATTCCAAGAAGTTCTTATGTCTATGTTACAATCATTAACTAACTTTATTACAACTGCTCAAAGTACAAAGTTAATTATTGCTGCATTTGCTTCACTAAACTTTATTATTCATTTTATGAAAAATATGCTTGATCAATATTTTGCCATTTTAATGAATTTCTTTAAGTCTAAAGCACAACAATTAAATCAAGTCATTTTAACAGCTACTGATCAAAAACAAAGAAAGGAAATATTAAAAATTAAATCTCGTCTTATTGAAGGACTTTCTATGTTGGTTTATTCATGTTCTAAGAGTATTACAAAACAAGTTGCACATGAAATTTTCCTTGAAGTTTATAATGTATTCTCTTTAAAGGAAGAAGAAAGAGAAGTTTTAATGCCATTTGCTGAAAAAGCATTTACTCGACTTGCTGGAGTATTGAAGGATGATATTCAACCATATTTAAATACTATTGTTCCAATTATTATTTCTAGAGCTTCAATGAATCCAGAAATAACAGTTGGAGATAAAGAAGAACAAGTTGATGACGAGGATTGGGCTAATACAGTATTCCAAGGAATGAATATTGGAATTAAAACTAGTCAAATTGAGGAGAAAGCTGATGCTATTTCTACTCTTGACTTATTCGTTGATGATCTTCAAGAATTAATGGTTCCTTATGTTGAGTCTATGAGTCCATTAATTAAGTCTATGAAATTTATTATGGATGATACTGTTCGTTTTAAAGCCACTACCTTGGTTGGAACATTGTTTAAGTTAAGACTAAAAGTGTTAGTTGCCCAAAACAGACAACAGGCTATTGCAGCAATGAAATCATCACAATTCTATGTTAATGCCTTTACTGCATTTGTAAAATATATTCCATCAGAAACAGAACCAAGTGTTGCTTTACATAAAATAGAGACATTTAATACAATGATTAAATCTCTTGGACCAAATGCATTAAGTTTAGAAGAATTGAATATGATATTTACTATGTTTGCTGATGTATTTGAAAGTTATGAAAATTCGACAAAGATGAAAACACAACAACAAGAATCTGTCCAAGGATTAACTGAAGAAGAATTGGAAATTCTTGATCATTCAAATGAAACAGACTCTGATACTATTATGGCTTGTCAACATTTATTCCAAACAGTTATTAAATTAAATGAACAATATGTTAATCCATATAATACTATTCTACATCAATGGATTATGAAATATTATAATTCTGGAAATGCAGATTATATTTCTACTTCTATTGTTTATATAGGTGATTTAGTAACTGTAGGAAAAAGATCAGACCTTGTTAATGATGTTATATCTCAATTTATCAATTATATCTCATCTGACAATTCAGATATTCAATTCAATGTATTATTGTCCTTAACTGAAATACTTAAATATTATCCAGACAATATTATTCAAAATTTCTTCTCTCCTTTAGCTCAAAAATTAAAGTGGTGCGAGCAATTAAGAGGACAAGAAAAGAATGATATTTATGAAGCATCCTTACTTTGTAAAGGATCATTATTAATTTGCCATCCAGAGTTATGTAAATCAGTTGGAATTAATATTATTGATATGATGAATGATTGGTTTGGATCAATTATGAATATAAAGAATGTTAAAGACATGGCATTATGTCTTGTTATTTTTGCTTCAAAGAAAGGATCTTTGATTGTTGATACTCCAGAAAAACTTGCTCATTACATTAATTTCATTGGAAATACATTAATAGAAGATTCTATTGATGAAGAGTCTTCTAACATGTTAAAAGAAGTTCTTATGCAATTTAAACAAAAGTTCCCTGACCAAGTTTTTACACAAATATGGCAAGGTATGAGTATTGAAGCAAGAGAAGAAATTTATTGTTTATTGGATAATTCAAGCCAAAATGCATAATGAAATGAATGAGTTATATCCAAAAATAATTAAATGAAAATTATGAGTTTTTAATTTTTTTCTATTAGAAAATGAGTTATTTATTTTTTGTAGAAAAAAGAGAAGTTTGTAAAAAATATTTAAGTAATTCCAAAAAAACTCATTTTAAGATGAAACTGAATTTGATAAAAAAAGAGATTGATGAAACAACTCTCAAAAACATCAGAAAATCCTCTTCAGACATTACACAGATCAATAACATCAGAAGAACTTAAAAAGAGAAGAAGAGCAGAACGATTTGATTGTCCATCATGTATAGAAATGCAAGGATATATTAGTGTATTAGAAGAAATTATTCAAAAGAAAAACACTATTATAGCAAAATTAATGAATGAAAAAGAAGTTTATAAAATTTTTGATGAATTACGTCAAGCAAATGATCCAAGTGTTTATGCAGAAGATACTATTGAGACATTAATAAGTTTTATTGAAAATAGAAATATTGAAACAAAAAATAATGTAATGAAAAAATGGGAAGTAATGCTTCAATCAAGAATTTCTAATGAAAATAAAAAAGTTCTAAAAAGTTTTGTAAGAAATAAAGTTAAAACTAAATATCAATATATTGATATTGGTGATGAAACTACTACAGAGTCTGATGTTCAAGATGATTCTACAATATTAGAGCCATTAGATGGAATGGATTATAATCGTTGTGATCAACCAAAACCAAAAATTAATGAAAAATTATTTGGATGTTTAGTAGATGATTTTACATCATCACAAATACTTTATTATCAACAATTCCAAATACTTACACAACTCTTTATCTCTCCTCTAAGAAATTTACAAATGGCAAAAGAGTCAATTAAATTATTAGATAACTTAATTCCTCCAATGATGATGGTTGAAAGAAAGGTTTCTCGTTGTTTACAACTAAAAGATGAAACAATGTGGCAAACAATAAAAGAATGTATTAGTGAAATGAAAGTGTATATTCCTTATATTTCAACATTAAAAACAACAACAATAAAAGCAGATATTGTTGAATGTTGTATGTCAAAAGAGTTTAAAAAAGAACAACAACCTTTAATAGCTAATTTCTTTAATAAAAATGGATCACAACAATTATTACCTGTTACTGTTTATTTGGAAGCTCCTGTTCAAAGGTTTTTTAAATATCCAAAAATTTTTGGTAATTTATTAGCTTCTGTTGATCCAAAACGTCATGACTATGCCATTATAACTTCTTGTTATTTGAATATAAATAAAATGGTTAAAAAAATGGGAGATTACCAGACAAACCAAGAAGAACAAAAGAAAGTTATTGAACTTAGTCATTTATTTAAACAAACTCAAACTCAAATTCTTAAAGATGGAAGAAAATTATTATATTATGGTCCTCTTAAAATTATAGAAGAAAAAAATGAATGGAATATGTGTTTTTTGTTTAATGATTTATTTGTTGTTTCTAAAGCAATTGTTATTGGAGCTCTCGGATTAGAAAAGGAATCATTAATGAGATTTGAAAATGCTCCAAGTGGGACTGATTTATCTTCATTAATGCCTTATAATTTTAACGAAATATTGTGTGTTTCCTTATCACATTTCTTATTGAAAAAAGTAGTTGATTGCAATACAGCTACAAACGCTTTTATGATTCAAGTTAATGACATTCAATTACACTGTTGTTGTGTATCAGTGAAAGAACGTCATAACTGGATTGGTTCATTGTTATTAACACAGAATGGAAGTTATTAATAATCATTGTTAACATAATTTAACTAATTTAGGTTATAACTATTCAATAAAAATTCATTTATTTAACATTTTACAATTCAATAGGATCATCTTTACTTTCTCCTTTTCCTTTAAACAATGATTGTATTTGAGGCATATGGTTCAATTGTAGTTTTTTTGTTGGAGCTATTCCTTTTGTCATTTTGTCAATATTACTTAATTCAGAATTTCCTATAACTTGGTTTAACGTATTTGGAGCAAATGTCCTTTTTAGTTGAGTTATTTTAGGTTTTGTTGCTTGTTCTTTGGAAAGGTGAGGGATAGTTGTTGTTGTTTGAAAAGGAAAAACAAATAATGACTTTGATATTTTTGGTAAAGATAAAGTAACTTGTTTCTTTAAATATTTTTGTTCTTCCAAATCAGTTTGTTTTTCTAAACTGTCATTAGTTGTTGTGTCATGAATTTGAGTTATCATACCATCTGAATTAATTGATATCATTGAAACGTCATCTGAAGATTGTCTAAGTAAAGACAATATTTTATTATCTATTACAACCTCTTTAGTAGGAAGTGGTTTATAACAAATAGGACAATTAAAACACTGTTTAGTAGTAGAATTTCTAATATAATTCTCTAAATCAAAACAAGCCAAATGAGAACAATTTAATCCTCTTGCAGGAATTACTATTCTTTGATAACTTATAGGACACTTTAATGAAATTGTTTGTTGTTCTTCTTCAACATCCATTTCTTCATCCATTTCTTCTAAATCAACTGATTGTAATTCAGTACTTCTACCACATTTTGAAACAATTGATTGAACACACTCATTTATTCCAAGATTTTCAATATCAACCAATGAAATAATTCCATTTTCAATAATATTCTTAGAAACAACTGAAATTATATTTTTGCCTTCCTTTAATAAATCAGTAACATCGATACAATTAAATATTTTGAAGTTATTTACTTTTTCAATTAATTTAGGTCGAGCAAAATACTTTGATAATTCAAAACTGCTTTTATTTATTGTTATCTTTGCAAGTAAGTAAGGGGGTAAATTTTCTTTTGTTGTTAAATCAAATAATCTTAATTGGACCCTCCGTTTCCCACCTGATTCTTCTAATAACTTAAACTTAAAAGATGAGGGATCTCGTTTATGAAAAATTCCTTCTCCATTTTTGAATTCAAATGACAAGCTTGATACAGAAACATCTGCTGCTCTATTAAATCTATTATATGCAATGACACGTTTTTGTATAATAAGTGGTGAAATAGTTTCGAAATATTCTTTTGGTAGTGCCAATTCCATACCTAATTAAATTGTTTTTCTTAAAATATTCAATAAAAAAAGGGTTAGGTTTTTCAAACAACATAAAAATATTTAGTAAAAAGTTTAATCATAATTTCTATATGTTGTATCTTCTTCTTTTAAATTTGTATGTTTCGAACGACCTTTCTTTCCCCAATCTTTTGTTTGGAGAATCTTTGGTAGTAAGCTTTTATCCATCCAGTCATCTCCAGTAGCAGCGTCAAAGTCCCAATTTCCTTTAGAAACATCCCATTTACCACCATCTCTAAAAAATGACCCAATATGATAATATTTTTGCATAAATTTCCATTTCTTTCTTTCTTTTTTCTTTTCTTCTTCATGGTTTTGTGATTCTGTTGAACAAATTTCTTTTAATTTTTCCAAATCATGTTGATAATTTAATTGTTCAATATATTCTTTTTTAAGTCTTTCTAATTCACGTTGTTGCCAAGCCTCAAACTCATCCTTCCCTCCATACTCATCTCCACTACTAAATTCTTCAGTACTTTCTTCATTTTCTTTTTGTTCTAATTCTTTTTGAATTGTCATTTGAATTAGTTTTTTATTAATTTCATTTGTATTAATGTCTTGAGTTTGTTGTTTATATGGTGGAAAAACATTTTCTTTTATTTCTTTTTCCTCAATTTGTTCTTTTTTAATTATTTCCTTTCTCATGGGGACAAATATAGGTTCTTCATCTTCTTCTTCATTACTTTCTTCTTCTGTGTATTCTTCTTGAATATGAAATATATCATCCTCATCTTCATTTTTTATTTTTTCAATCCGGTGAGTTATAACCAATCCTTTTTTCATTTTCTTTCTTTTTAGTTTCTTCTCCACAAAAAATTAATTAAAAATTTCATTCATTACTTAATAATATTGTCATTATTTTCATTCTTTTATTTCTTCTTCTGTTTTGACTTCTTGAGTAATATCCCCTTCTATTTTATTTTGAGGTACTACGTTTGGAACTTCTTCTTCCATTCCACTTTGTTCCAAATAAATGCTTTGATAATTACATTCTTTTATTTCATTTTGAGCTGGTACATTTAGGATTTCTCTTGTTCCATTGTTTTGTATTTCTTTTTCTATTTTATTATCATAGGTAATATTATTTTGACCATCACAGTCTTTAGTTTGTTTTTGAGTAATAATATCTTTTTGATTGATAGTCTCCATTATTTCATTTTGGGGTAATGAGTTTAGTGAGTTTTCATTTGTAACTTCATGTTGGTTTTTAGTCTCTGTTTTTTCTTCTTCCATTTTAGTTTCTTGAATATTATTTTGAGGATTTATGTCTTCTTCAATTTTAATTTCTTTCAAGTCATTAGGTTGATTGTTATTTTCTTTTGTTTCTTCTTTTATTTTTTCTTCTTGAACATTTTCATTTTGATGAATGTTTTCTCTCACTTCATTTTGAAGTGTTGTATTTGGTAATTCTTTTATTATGGGTATATTTTGGTTATCATTTTCTTTTATTTCTGTGGTTGTGTTTTGAGATAATTCATTAGGAGCTTCTTCCATTCGAGTGTCTTTCTCTTCTTCATCATCTTTTTCTTCTTCCATGTATCCAAACATTCTATTTGCATATTTCTTTTCACTATAAAACCCAACTAATAATGACCTATTATCATATCTTTTTTTTATTATTTCTTTCCAACATTTAATTGCCCCTTCAATAGTTTTAAATTCAATAAAGACCCTTCCAAGACCACTTGGTTTTTTATTTTCTTCCGTTGGTCTTGGAATACTAATACTCTCAACCTCTCCATATTCCTGACATACAAATCTAATGTCATCAATTAATTCAATATATCGTTGTTGGTCAGTAAGGTCTTCTGGATATACCATATTAAATATGATAATAATTCTACTGACATGTTGGTCTTCTATCTTTTCTGATGGTTTTAATATTTTCTCAAACACAGTAGAATATCCGACAGATGAATTTAATAAGGTTCCAATTACTAAATCAGTGGTATGAGGAAACATCTTTGAAAATAGTTCATTTAAAGAAGCTTTTGGTAGGTGTTTAAATCCATCTACTCCACTACACACTTCAATTTTATTTCCACCTAAATTGATTCCATCAAAAGTTAGAATTTTCTCTTTATATTCAGGGTTTTGATATTCAAATAAACAATAACATTTTCCTTGTGGTGCCCCAAGGTCAGGATCTCTTATAACAAAGAAATTTTTTAATGGATTTAAATTCTCTAATTTCTTGCGTATTTGTTCATCAGTCATTTGCAATGGAATATTACCCATATACAAAATAGATTCTCTGGGATTTGTTGTTCCAGGTTCCATTAATTGAGAAAGACCACTAATAAATGGTAAAACAGGATTATAGTCTTTTGGTCTACGCACTTTAACTGATGCTCCTTTAATTGTTAAACCATCCAGAGACAATGCTTTGACTGCTTCTTCTAATGTTCTAAATTCAAGAAATGCATATGACCTTTCATAATTTACTTCTATGTGAGTGATAATATCACGAGTATCATTTTTATCTACATAATCTCCTCTTCTCATTGCTTCATTAAACGCATCAACAATATCTTTTTCTGATGTAGAAGAATTAATATTACCAACGTAAATTCTTTTAGCCGCTCGTTCTTGATGTACATTTAATTGTTGAGATATTTGAACAGAGTCAATAGCTTTTGGCTGTTCGTCCCATCTTGAAGGAAGTTTATCTCCGAGTGGTGATAAAGATGGAGATCTATCTGCTCTTCTTCTAATGCTTCTATTATAACGTTCTTCTTCAGGTACTCTTCTATGTCTATCTTCTCTGTCCTCATTACGACTATATTCTCTCCTTGTTCTTCTTCTACTTGATTTATACCTTATCCTATCTCTTGGACTATATTCTCTTCTGTCATACCTATCATAATACCTTCTCCTATCATCTCTTTCTCTTGAATAATCACTACTTCTATAATCACTTCTTCGACGCCTACTAACGCTTCTACTATCTCTATCATATCTGCGTTCTCTTGAACGAGACCTATCATACCTTCCTGCCATTATAGACGTTTATGTTTTTCCAAGTTCCTCTTTTTATTCAAAAACATAAATAATACGAAATTCTTTTTAAGTTGTCAATTAGTGTTTACATGCAACAGCAGCAGCAACAATGACAGCACCAAGTCCAGATCCATCTTTAGATAACTGACAAGTAAAGTTTTCTTTTGGTTGTAAAAGACGGATTGCTTCAAGATAGAATCTCTTAAATGGAACAGACTTTTCATAAACAGTACCATCAATACCAGCAGTAGTTCTTTCTTTCATATATGGAACCATCTTACGGTATAAGGCAACTGTTGCAGCTGCAGAAAGATAAGCAGCTCTTTTAACAACTGCCTCAGTTATAGCCTTAAGGATCTTTCTTTCTTCTAAAGTAGAGTCATTAACTCCAAGTGACTTTAAAATGGTGTCAACACGAGAAAGTTCAGGAGAAGTGTCTTCAACTATTTCAGTATGTCTTGATGAATATTTCTTTTTATCATTAAATTGAGTGTCATCTGGTGAATTAGAAAAAACTTCAGCATCAGCATATCGTTCAAAAATAACTTTTTTCTCAATTAATTCTCTAATAGCTAATCTTGCTAACCATCCCATGTAAATACCTGAAATCATCTTTTCATATCGTTGTTGGTCTTTATTAACGCTAACATCATTAATCATATCATCAAATCTGTTGAGTCCAAGTTCTGGAAATTGTAATCCTCCCCATTCGGTGTTAACAATCATATAATCTTCTTTATAAACTGATTTCAATTTAGAAGCAGCAAAATTTGATGTTTTCTCAATATAACATCCATTAGTTCCTGTACCAAAAATAAGTCCCATACCACATGATGCATCATCATATGCAAGATTGGCAAATGTTCCTACTGTATCATTGATAAATGCAACTATTCTAATATTGTTAACATTGATTTTTGCAAGTTGGTTATGGAAAATTTCAACAATGTCTTTTCCAATAGACTCCTTAACATCCCATCCTTTTGACCATGATTGTTGAATTCCTTTGTCTATAGCAATTTGTTCAACAGCAAAAGAAAATGTTAATCCAGCTTTAATTTCTTTTTCTTTTAAATTGTTATTTTCAACAAATTCTTTAATCTTTTGAGCAATAAACCCAAAGAATTGATCAACGGTTGTTGATGTTTTTGGCATAATACATTCAACTGATTTAAGTTCTCCACGAACACCAGGTTCAGGGATTTCTAATAATAAGACTCTAAGATTAGTTCCACCAACATCAATACCCATAAAAGTACCAACTTCTTTTCCAGTAGGAATAGGAGCATACGTTGGAAGCATTTGAAGAGTACTTGGTTTGTCTTGAAGTCCATTTTCCATCTCTTCTAAGAGTTTAGAAACAATAATTTCCATCTTTTCTTTATCAATAGCAAATTGATCAATGATTTCTTGCATTGTGTTTTATTTATCTATTTAAAAGTTCTTCTTGATTTTTTAAGTAGCAAGATTTTTAATCTTTTTTACTCAATCTATTTATGTAAAAGGAATTTGAAGTTCTGATCAAAGCCAATTGATAAAACCCCTTAAATTAAAACAAACTCTGAATGTCTCATACAACCAATTCTAAAAGAATTTTTTTAGTATTGAAAAGAAAAGACAATAGTCAAAAATAATAAAAAATTAACAATATCTAAAAAAATCTTATGAAAGAAAATAATATACTAAGAAAAGATTCTTCAAAATAATCATTGTCATAAATTCATATCTTATAAAAATAAAAAAGAAATCTTTTCAAAAAACTATATGAAGAATTATTAAGAAGCAGATATAAAATCCATGATTTATTGAAACGTTTTTAAGCAAAATGAGATTTTTCTCAAAATAATATCATTACAAAAGTGTTTTTATAACAAAATATATTTTTATGTAAACAATTCGTATCAGAAATTTTTTAATTCAAATAATCTAAATAAATTACAATTGATAGAAAAAGAGTTTCTTTGATAGACTAATTCAATTCACAATTAACAAAATGAAAATCTCTGTATCCTGTAAAAAAATGATAACAAAATTTTTTTTTTATTTTTTCTTTAATACCACAAAACCTTTTTTTCTGATATTATTTTTTATTGTTTTTCTTTTTGACTATTAACCTTATAATAAGTTTATTGATCTTCTTTATTATTTTAATGTTATTAATTTATTGATTAGTTTAATAAAAGAAACAAAATATTAAAAGGTAAAACGAAGATAAATTATAGGAGCAGTTATTACAAAAAACAGTCATTTTTTAAACTATAGACGTTTAAAATTGAAATTTAAATAACGCTATATATAACAAATTCTAAATAATAACAAAATTTTAAGAACTTAAAAAGTTATATTAAAAATGAAAAATAACAATCTTATAAAAAGTCATTGAAATCACTAAAATAAGAATTGGATAAAAATAGGATGAAGAGAATAGTAAAACAAATAACAAAAGAACTAGAAGTCAAACGACTAAAGGTATATGAAGCCGATGATAGAACTTAAAATCAACAGTTGATGACTTCACGCGAAGATTTAGTTTATTTAAGTAAACTTGCTGAACAAAGTGAAAGATATGAAGAAATGGTTCAATATATGAAGCAAGTAGCTGAAATGGGAACTGAACTTTCAGTTGAAGAAAGAAATCTTATTAGTGTTGCTTACAAGAATGTTGTAGGATCAAGAAGAGCTTCATGGAGAATTATATCATCTCTTGAACAAAAAGAACAGGCTAAAGGAAATACTCAAAGAGTAGAATTAATTAAAACATACAGAGCAAAAATCGAACAAGAATTATCACAAAAATGTGATGATGTTTTAAAGATTATTACTGAGTTCTTGTTAAAAAATTCTACTTCAATTGAAAGTAAAGTCTTCTTCAAAAAGATGGAAGGTGATTACTATAGATATTATGCTGAATTTACTGTTGATGAGAAAAGAAAAGAAGTTGCTGATAAGTCACTTGCTGCCTATCAAGAAGCAACTGACACTGCTGCATCTCTTGTTCCAACTCACCCAATTAGACTTGGCCTTGCACTTAATTTCTCTGTTTTCTATTATGAAATTATGAATGATGCAGATAAAGCTTGCCAACTTGCTAAAGAAGCATTTGATGAAGCTATTCAAAAACTTGATGAAGTTCCAGAAGAAAGTTATAAAGACTCTACTCTTATTATGCAATTATTAAGAGATAATTTAACACTTTGGACTTCTGATATGGGAGATGATGAATAAACTTCATACCTTAGTTTCAAGTAATTCACTGTCTTTTGACTTAGTTCTTCTCTACCAAAGTTTTTTCTGTTTCTATTTAATTAAAATTGATTTTGTTAAATAAAGAAAAAAGAAATAAAAAAACTATTAATCACTTTTTTGTTAACTGGACGAAGGTTTGTGTTAATTCCTTTTCTAATTTTTAAACCTATAGAAAATTCAATTTGGTTTTATAAAAGTTGGTCTAAGTAAAGCAGCTGGTGCTTTGAATATATCATATAATACTAGTGTAGAAGATGTTTGTCTAGGAGAATTAATAACATTAGAAGGAGACCCAGCTACAGGAGTTGAAGAATTATTTTGAGTTGTTTGTTCACTATTTGATGATTCTATTGAAGTTGCCTTTTTATAAGGAGTTAATAAAAAGGGTGTTGAAGGTGAAGTTGAACGTGGAGAAACAGACTTATCTCCAGAAGTAGATGTAGTTGATTTAGACAACACTGAAATAGCTTCACTTCCATGTTTAGTATGATGTTTAGAATTTTTAGAATTAGTTTGAGCACGACTTCTAAATAAGCCACTTTGTTTTTTTGATTTGTCTTTAGTTTTTTTTGATTCAGTCTCTTCTTTTAAAGATTCAATAGGGTCTGTTTCTAATAATAACATTCCTTTACCACTAGTATATCCTTGTACATTTAAATCTAATTCTTGAATAGCAGATTTTGGCATATGAAGAATCATTTCATAAATTAAATTTTTAGCTAAATTTGTTTTAGTTAAAGCACTAAAAGGATCAAGGTCAGGATTTATAATCATACAAGCACTAAAAACCATTGCTAAATTATCCATATCCATTTTTGTTAATGACTCAAATGGAACTAGGAATTGAAGAAAGTCAATAATAAATATAAACATATCTCTATTGATTCTTGGTAATAAATTTAATAATTCCATAACCTTCTCTGGACTTTCATCTAATTTTGCAACAACATCTTCGTTGACAAATTTATCATAATAAATAGGTGGAATAATAGGTGTTGGTAATTCTCTCAAAAATAATTTAAATAAACTTGCAATAGTATGGCAATTACATTCTTTATAAATTTCATATTTTCCTTCATTAAATAATGTTTTATAACCATCAATATCATCTTGTTTTCCTGGGACTCTAAATAACCCTTCTAATTTATTACCACCTAATGCAATAATTGTATCTTTCATTAATAAAAAAGCAATAGGAATAGAAACATTTGGATGAGAGGATTTTTGATAGGACATAATTGTTTCTAAATCAACAGAGAAAATAGGTTGGTTTATATTAAAACAAGTCATTTTCTTTTTAAAGTTGTTAAGTTTTCGTTTTTTAATTTTAAACGCAATTCTAAACTTATTTCTTTTTATCTTTATCCTTTCTTATCATAAATAACATAAATTTTTTTAAATAACATTTCTTTGAATATTCTTCAAAAAATTGAAAATTTGAAGAGGTTTTTCTTTTCATTTAAAAATCAAAACCTCGATTTTATAAGATCTGTAGATTGTAACTTTGATGAGTGAGCCAGTTACAGCTCCTTCTCAACCATCTTCTCTTGGCGCTTTTAAGTTTTGGAATAAAAAAGAAAAAGAAATGAAGGATATTCCTGATGTGAAGAAAAATGGTCTTTCTAAAGAATTTTTATGGACATTTATTTTAAACAATGATACAGAGTATGATGAAACACGATGTATACAACAATTGAGTGAAGTAAGAAAAGTATGGTCAGTGATTGGGACAATGTCTTCGAATAAGGTGAAGAAAGATCACCAACGCAAAACCTCTTCTTTTGGTAAAGATATTGTACAAATGATTCAAGAAAATTACAAATTTATGAATGAAGGGAAAGCTCAATGGGAAGAGGCTTTTATGAAAATGACAAACACAGTAAATCAATTAAATGAAGATAATGAAGCATTAAAGGAACAAGTAAGGACTTTAAAAAATGAAAAAATGAGACATAGTTCAATTGTGAAGAAAGAATCAACTTTACATGAGATTGAATTACAATTACAAAATCTTGTTAAGTTAAATAACCAAATAGAATCTAAGTTGTCAGTTATATCTATACAACAATCAAATGATTCACTTATCCAAAAAAGTATTAATGAAAAAGTTGAATTAATTGAAAAAAATATTAACAGTCATACTCTTTCTAAAATCCCTTCTTTATCTTTTAATACAATTGATGAAGAAATGTCTCTTCATCAAATAGATGATAATGAAAATAAAACAAAAACACCAGAACTACCTGATCATTATTATACTGATAATTCTGTTATTCCAACTATTCCCCTGAAGAATACAATTGTTATAAATGATTATCAACCCTCTGAACAAACAGAAGAAAAACTTAATCACACTCAAAATGATATAGTTATTTCTTCAAAAAAAACACTACCTATTCAAATAGACCAGTTTAATGGGTGTGATGATTTTGTAGTACACAGACTAGACCAACAACCATTAGTTTCTTCATATGAAAATAATGAACATGCTTTAATATTAGAAGAAGATAATATACCACATCTTGGTAATGTCCCTTCTGTTCAACGTAAAACTTCACATGTAATGTCTCGGTCAGTAGGTGATGCTAATTTTTTGGATGAAATCCACCAAGATATGTCAACACAAAGTACTCCATACAGACTAATGAAGATGCCACTCAGGAGATACATTTCAAGTTCTAAGCATAATGAGTTATTCATTTCTCCAGCAACCAAACGATCAAGAAGTATTCTTTCATCTCAGCAAATGACACTTTCCCACGAAGAATTAACTATGAAAGTAAAAAAGCCATTAGTTAGAATTAATCAGAGTAGTGATAATCTTACACCAAGAAGTAAAAAGGATCATGAATTAAAAGAAAAAGAAGAAGAATTAAAACAAAGAGAAGAGATACTAAAGAAAAAAGAGGAAGAAGTTAGTCAGAAGGAAAAAGAAGTTCTTGTGGTTCAAATTGAAATAGAAAATAGAGAAGAAGAACTTCAGTCTTGGGAAGATGATATTCAAAGAAGAGAAAATGAAATTAGAGAACGTGAAGGTGAGGTTAGGAGAAGAGAAGTTGAGTTAGAACAGAAAGAGGAAGTAATTCAAAAAGAGGATGAGACTAAACAAAAGGAAATAGAAAAAATAGAAATAATTAAAACAGACCCCTTTAAGGGTAGAGCCAGCGAACCACCAAAAGACACATCTAGTTCTAAAGAATTTGAAGAATTAAAGAAAGAAAAACTACAATTAGAACAAACAATACAAGACCAACAATTAAGAGTTTGGACCTTAGAAGAACAAAATAAAAGAGTAGAACGTATTGTTAAGATGATGGATTCAAATGAACCTAGTGAAGATGATATTACTCAGTTTATTGAGACAATAAAAGAAATTGTTAATAGAAAAAAACAAAAATTAAGATTTATATTAACTCAAAAGATTGTTGATACGTTTAGTCGATATGTCCAAAACCCATTATCATTATCGGCAATAATTACTCCACGAGGTTCAATTAGAAAAAGTGAGAAGAAAAAAGATAAAAGAGAGTTACAATACATTCAATTTATACCAAATAAAATTGAAGAAAAAAGAAAAACGTCACTTATTGTCAAAGATAATTATGAAATGTATAGGACTGTGTGCTATGACTTTTATGTTAAAGAAGGAGAATATTACAGAATTATTAATGAATTTAATGAAGTTTATATAAAGAATATTAATTGGTCAATAATGAAAGACTTTGCAAAAGAATTTAAAGAACTTTTTGAACCAATATTAATGTTAACAAAGAAAATTGTTGATGAATTAGATAGGGTTTATTCAGATCCTATTAAAGATGCTGAAGGAAAATCATGCATTGCACTTGGAAGTATTTTAGAAAAATACGCACAAACATTAAGGGTTTATTTAAATTATATATTAAGATGCCCATATTTTGTTGACCATTTCCCAGTATTTAGTCAGTCAAAAGAATTGACTGATTCTCTTGTTCTTTCTATAACCAATTATATCAATTCTCAAAGACTAAACAATCCATCATTTGTAGTAAATTCATTTTTACCAATTTCTGCTTATATCCTAGCTCCAGTTTCTCATTTTTCTGTTTATCCACAATTAATGAGAGAACTTGCAATGAACATATCAAATAATCATTTTGATAATTTAGCAGTACAAAATGCACTCAGAATAATAGAAGGAATTGAAGATGAAATAGACCGTCAAAAAAATTCCGCAGAACGTTGTGATGCAGTTAGATTTGTAAAAACATTATTTGTTAAAACAATAGAAATACCTGATGGTCATTGTGAATTGTTATATTTTGGATTTTTAAAACCAGTTGATATAGAGAAATTTAAAGTACATGATGATATTATTAGAGTATGTTTCTTGTTTAATACAATGTTTATTATTACTAAAATTAAAACGTTCCAAGGAAAAGTATTAGATAAGAAGGCATTAACTGCTAAATTCTACCAAGAAATTAGTGGGTTAAATGTTGAATTTTTAAAAGGCTTTATATTAGAAGAAGTAGATCGATGTTTTATTACAGACCATATTATAATTTCACTTATCCAAAATATAGGTTCTATTATTAATGGATTTGCTGTAGAGTTTAATGAAAAACAATACAATTTTGTAGCTTCATCCCAAAAACAACAATATAATTGGTGTGATGCATTCTCTAATTTAATGTAAGTTTTTTATAAAAAAATCTTCTTTTAATCATTTCTTCTTTCTTTCTTACAGATGAAGCGAATATTTGAATTTTCATCTAATGCTGTTTCTCCTCCAACTCTTTCTAAAGTCCTACAATTACTTATATTAGAATTTGTTCCTGATAAACTCCCTAGTTTTAATGATAAATTATTAATGATAGAAGAAGCATGGTGGTATTATATTGATGTGTACAGATTATTATATCCTGAGTTACCTCGTCTTGAATTTATTGACTTTGTAAAACAAATAGCTTTTTGTGTACCAACACAAAGTCTATTACAAAATGAATTAAATACAACATCACCAGATATACTTCTAAGTGACTTTAATAACTTTAAATCAACTATCCCATGTTATGGAGCAATATTAATGGATGAAGACCTTCAACATGTTCTTGCAGTTCAAGCATTTAGAACAACTCGTTGGGGATTTCCAAAAGGAAAAATGAAAATTAAAGAAGATCCAGTAGTTTGTGCTGTAAGAGAGGTAGAAGAAGAAATTGGATTTAACGTACTTCCCTTTTTAGTCAAAGAAAATCCAATTGAGATTATTATGGGAAAGAAAAAAGTTACTTACTTCTTTTGTCATCATATTCCTTTAACAACACCATTTCATCCAAAAACTCGAATGGAAATTCACAAAATTGCATGGCTTGATATTGATGATATTACAAGAGAAGTTATTGCTAAAAACCCGGACTTTAATTTTTTTAATCAACTGATGATAAACGCTATGTTAACATTTGTTGCTCGTCAAAAAGGTATTGAACCTAAATTATTAGTTCTTGACACCCCTTGTAACTCTTCTTATTTCTCTGAAAATTCTTTTGGGATGGAGTATTTCTCAAAATTATATACTAATGCTTTTAAAACAGGTTCATTACATCGTTAACAACTTCTTTATCTTTTAAACAACGATAAATATAACAGAAATAAATTGTGTTGTTCTAAATAATTTATTGTTATATAAAACATAAAATTTTTCGCTCTATTCTAAAAAAAGAAAACGAAGAGTTTAGAAACTAATTGAAAATACCAAAAATAAACTAAAAAATCTTCAATATAATTTTCTTAACATGTCACTGTCTAAAGAATCGCGAACATCTTCTATGGGACCAAGAGCCCAAGTAAAATTTCCTTTTGAATTAAGTCCTGTTTGTAATAACATTATTCGTTATTTTTTTTTTAGGATGATAAGTTATGACTCTGTCAAAAAAAAATCTTTTATCGTTTTTAAGACAGTTTAAATTACATCCCAAAAATTTACTAAATACTTATACACTTTTAGCCAATACAAAAATTAACATTTGGTCATCAATACGCAGTACAATCAGTCCCTTTACAACAAACAATTACATTTATAAATAAAACTGATGAATTATATAGAATGACAATAGTTGTTAGTACAAGTCCTAAATATACAATGGAAGTTGATGAAGAAAAAATTAAAATTAAACGACAAAGTACAAAGTCTGTCACAATTACTATCTGTTTTAATACAGTTATTACAGTTGGCTTAACTGGAAGTGTTACATTTGAAGTTAAAAAAAAAGCATTTATTGGAAACGAAGCAAGTTCATTAACTCTAAGATTTCAAATGTTAGGTGTTATTCCTAAAGTATCTTCCAAACAAGTAATTCTTGAATTGGAACCTTTTGATACTTTAATACACCCACAACAAACTGAATTAGTAAATCAAGACATAAAAAGTAAATTTCAAATTAAAAATAAATTAACTCAACATGAAGACTCAAAAATAATAATAAAAAGAGAAACAAATACAATAAATGAAAAAGACTTTATTACTATTTTAGAACATTCAAAAAATAAAGAAGATATTATTAAAATTGGAACAGTTACAGGAAAAAAAGCACTTTATAATAAGGAACAGACATTTATATTTAATTTTAATGATGTACAAGAAGACTTTAATGCTTTAACATCAATATATATGGATATTCATCATTTTTCAATAGTTCAATTAATTGGATTAAATTTTCATTCAAACTTCATGTTATTAGAAGCAGACACACAATATAATATTGAACAATTTTTAGATTGTGAGTTATCTATTCCATTCTTAACGAGATGTTGTATTAATTTAGTTACTGCTTTACAATATTTATCTTCTCAAAATATTCTTCATAGAAATATTAAACCAAGTAAATTAAGACTAGTTAAAAGAGCTTCACCTACTATGGGGCTCCCTTTAATTAAATTACATGACTTTTCTTGTGGCATTGTTTTAGAAAATGGAAAACGTACAAATGAATGTGTTGGAACTATTGAGTATATGGCACCTGAAGTTATTGAAGAACAAGAATATGATGCAAAAGTCGATGTGTATAGTCTTGGTATGACGATGTATCATATTTTTAATAAAAAAAAACCATATGGTGAAATGTCAATACAAGAAATTAAAGAATTTGTACGTTCTGGACATCGGTTATCTCCAACAGATAAAATACCTATTGCAATAATAGGAATAATAACAAAGTGTTGGAATCAACACCCAGAACTACGACCTAATTATAAATGGATATTAAATGCACTTAATGATTTCTCTAGAAACTATACTGCATAATTAAAATACTTAATTTGTGATATGTCTCTGAATTGGGTTTAGGGTTTTACTGAAAAGAGTATTAACTTTGAAATAAAAAATGAATGTTGAAATATTAATTACTATTATTGTATTACAAACAATTGTTATTGTTTGGTTGTTGTTAAAAAGAAATAAAAAGTGTATTAAGTCTGTAAGTCAAACCACTGATAAAATAGCAAATACTAATGAAGAATATAAAATGGTATTACTAGTTAGAAAAGACTTAAAAATGCAAAAAGGAAAAATTGCAGCACAATGTGGTCATGCAGCTGTTGGTTGTGTTCTTAAAGCACAAAAATATGATCCAATTTCATTAAATACATGGAGATATTATGGTCAAGCTAAGATTGCACTTGTTGTAGATAATTTGCAACAATTAGAACAATTAGAAAAGAAAGCAGAAGAATCTAATTTAATTACGAAAAAAATTTGTGATGCTGGAAGAACACAAGTTGTCCCTGGGTCTATTACTGTTCTTGGAATTGGTCCTGCACCTGTTTCTGTTATTGACCAAATCACTGGAAAGCTTAAATTATTATAAAAATGATGACTTTTTCGAAACTGTTTTCTTTGGCTTTTTTTCTTGACTAAGTTTAAGGGAATGACGAATATTCTCTATTTTATGTAATTTTTCATTAGTTTCATTAATTTGTAATGAATCAACTAGTAATTCTGTTTTCTTATATTTTAATTGGTCTTGGTTTTTTGTTTGAACTTTCCTTAAAGAAGAAGCAGGAAAGAAAAGTTGATTTGGACAAATAATTTGTCGTGATATTGGGTCAAATTCCATTTGATTTTGTTGAGCAAACAAACTTAATTCTTTGAAAGAAATTTTTCTGAATGACTCATCGTCTTCAGTTGTATATTTTGATAAGTATTCATTCAGAGAGAGGTTTGGTGTTTCTCCAGTAGATGACTGGAAATAATCTCTTTTAATGATATTCTTTACGGTTTCTATGAACATTTCTTCATCAACGATATACTTTCCATTTGGTGCGATATTCATCAAGGGAATTAGTATGTCTTAAGATCAAGATTAAAATAATAAAAAAGTAAGATAACGTTAAATCTTTTTAGAAAATGGAAAGGTGAGATAGTGAAAAGTAATATTTTTCATTTGTTTAACTACTAAATTAAAATAAATATTTTTTTTTGCTTTTTTTGTAAATAGCCTCAACAAATTATCGTTCCTAAGTTTTAGGAAAACTTGCTCCTCTCATATGGAAATTAGAACTTAAATTAAACAAAATATGGAAGACAAAGAGGAGAAGAAGCAAAAAAAACATGGGATATTCTCCTTTTTAAAGAAAAAATCAAAATCAGCAAAATTTGAAGAGGAAGGATTAGAAAAAGAAGATAAAAAAGAAAAAAAAGAGAAAAAAGAGAAGAAAAGGAAAGAGGAAAAAGAAAATGAGAGGAAGAGACACTCTGTTGCTGTTGTAGAAAAGAAAGAGTGTAGAGAGCCAAATAGAAAATCATACGCTCAAGGAGGTAGTGTTAATATTTCAACATTTATGAAAAGCCTTCCTGATTGGCAAGAAAGTACAAGAAGAGTTATTACTGATTGTAGTTTTGAGACGTTTCCAATTGCTGGAGATTTACCTCGGTTATTAAAACATTTATCAATTGTACGTGAAGTATCTGAAGGGAATTATGATACTCTTTTTCCTAAAGATGGAATTGTTAATAAAACAAGTAATGCTGGTGATTGTCTTCAAGTTATTACTTGTGTTACTCAATTACTTGAAGGGGAAGAACAAGCAGAAAAAGTAGAAAAAGAATGGAATGAAACAATTGTCAATGACCAAGACATGAGCGTACAAAAGACTTTTTTAATAAAAATTTTAAAAAAAGTTTTTGTAGAAGAAACAGAAAATAAAGAAGTACCATCACCTGTTATTACATTTTTAAAAGCAATTAATCAAAAAATTATTGCAAATTCTACAATGCATTTAAAGATTGTTTGTGGTAATTTGTTCTTCAAAGACTCTCGTTTGTTATATTTTATTAAGAAATAAATAAAAAAATAATATTTATAATACATAGAACCAATGTTTTGGGAAGTAGCTTGTATTCTTCAACAAAAGACATATTTAATTCATTATAGAAAACAAGAAACAACAAGTAAAAACCCCGAAGAATATTTTAGATTCTTATGGGAATTAAGACTTGTTTTTAATTCTAATTTAACTCAATTAGAAGAAGTAACAATGGGAATTTCATGTATTGAATTTAAACCAGAGACTACTGAGGCTATTCGGACAAGTGTATTAAATACTCTCAAATCAATTCAATTTACTGATTGTCAAATAAAAAATGTAGGTGAAGAAGATGATCAATAATAATACTTTTGTTCTGTTTTAATTTCGTTACAATAAATGATACATTCATTCAATTACTAAAAAATATTTTGTTTAAATCGTTCATATTTTGAGTTACTTAGAAAAAGAATTATTATTTTATTTTCATTTTATAAATTATTCTGTTTTAAATAAAATGAATTTCTTAATTTTATTATTTTTTAATTAGTTCAGGTAATTTAAATTTGAAAGTCAAGAAAATCATTGATACAAAGAATTTAATATCTCTTTGTTTTATTAAATTTCTTTTTAATAATTGTTTATCAATTTCATGTTTATCAAAGTTAAAGATCTTTTTTTACATTTAAAATGGAGGAGCTAAAAAAATAAATGAGTTTAATTTATTAGATGATTTAATCTTTTTCATTAAAAAAAAACTCAATTTATTAAAAAGATAAATTTAACTTATTAATTGTTTTATATAGTAACAAATAACTAAAATGGAAAGTAAAAAAGGGTATTCAACTGTGGTATTAACTTTGGGAAGTTAAATACTTAATATAATTTATTAGTATTATTTTTATTGAGTATTGAATTAGGTAATTGAGCTAATATAATAATTACTACGATTGAATGAGTGATACTAAAACTAAGTGGTCAAAGAAAAAACAAAAACACCAATATCACAAAATTAAATGAAGAGGTTAACGTAAAGATGTTTAGGGTAAGTACTGGCAACAAGGTTAAAATTCATAATATGAAAATTGATAAAGGTTGTTATAAATGTATCATATGTATAGGTTTTATTTTAATTTATATGTATATAAGTGAATAAGAAGTTAAAATTTTCTTTCATTGAATAATAAACTTAAAATAGTAATAGTCATGTATAAAGAATAAAACGGAAGAAAAAGAAAATTACTTAAATCGTTAATAAAAAACAAACAAATAGGTTATGGAAGGGAAAGAAAAAAAAGATGAAGATAATAAATATTTGATCTAATACACTAGAATAAAATTAAAGGTTTGATGAATAGATAAAAAAATTAAAGAAGTTTTGGTTTAATAAAATTTGTTTAGAATAGTTATTTGATTTCATTATACTATTTACTCTTCCTTTCTTTATTTTTTTAGGAGAATTTAATACAATTTACATAAATAGATTCATAAATAAAACTATATAATAAATAATAAAAAACTATAATTAATAGTATATTCTACCAATCAAGTTGTAATTTTATTTTCTGATTTGTTTAAAGTCAGTATTTAAGAGTTAAAGATTAAAGTGTTTAATTATTAAGTTATACATTGCGAAAAATAAATCATAAATTCATTCATCAATATAAACTAAAAATAGGAAGTAAAGTCATAAAAAGCTTATAAAATAAATAGAGTTAAGAAGAATAAGATGAACTAATTAGAGAAGTCAGAAGAATGAATTAATGACAATAACTCATCATCAATAGGTTTACTGTATTTGGAGATAACTCCTTCTCCATCAACATAGACATAACTTCCATCATGAGTATCAGTCTTTGAAAGGATTTGAATAATTTCCAAATCACAATCTTTTAGGTCTAAAGGCGTTTGGATGTCTCTTATTAATGGAGATGGTCTTTTTCCAATAGATGTTGTAAAAGCCATCTTTGCTGATATTATATAAATATTAAGATAAGAGAGTTCAAATAATCATCTACAGACTATTATGTAAAAGTAAAAAAAGAGCGAAAAAATGAAGTTGAGTATAACGGTTTCAAGACTTGCTAATCTTTTATGAGAAAAAGTATTTTTACAAAACGTTAAATATTTACTCTTTGGAGGGATAAAAATGATTTTCTATTTTTATTTTCTATTTTAAAATATTTCTAAAGAAATATTTTAAATTTTTTCTATTTTTATTCTTGTAAATTTCAATATTTTTTTACCCCATAGTCTTTTAAAATTTTGTTCTTTTTTAGAGAAGAGACAAATTTCATCTTTATAATATTGGATATGAAAATATTAATAAAATTGTTTTGAAGTTCTAAATTTAGAAATACTATTGAAATTATTTAGTTTTGTTATTTTTTCAACAATATTCAATAAAGATTTTATTACAAACAATATTACTTATTGTCAATGAATATCTTTATTAAACAAAAATAATCTAAAATGAAGATAAAAGAGTTGATAATTCAAATTAACAATTCAGAAAAAAAAAAACAGAAAGAGAATGGAAAGTTTGAAAAGATATAAAAATAGATTTTTTTGAAATTTTAAGATTTATACCCCGTTTAAAAAATTCCTGTTAAGTTCTTTAAGTAACAAATTTTCATTTTTTGAGATTTCTATCAATATATACTGTTCAATCTTTGTTAATATTTGTTATTTAAATTTTTTCTTTAAATATTATAAATAAGTTATAGAAATAATTCGCTCAATATATAAATACTTTTATCAATCGTATTTTCTTTAATCTTTTTTTAGAACTAAATTTTTAATATTTCTTTAATATTTTTAAAAGTAAATTAGAAAAATTATTTTTTAACTGAGTAACGACAATGGAATATAATATATAGGACAAAGACTTTGACTATATATATTTAGCAAAGTAAGTAATTGTTTAATGTATTTTTAGGTAGTTTTGTCTATTTATTCTTGATTTTCATTAATTAAATTTAAGTTATTATTTTATCTAAG